TGCTCTGGGAATATAAGTACAAGCCACACTTTTCAGATGTAGAAACACAGCTATTTGATTTCTACTTCAAAATTACAGTTTGTACTGATACGTCCCAATAGAACACCCTGAAGTTTGGATTCACAAGGAATAAAAAAACTCATATGAAAAGTGTGAAGGCGTACGAATAACTTTCTATGGCAATAATGGTTAAAAAGACATTTTTTCATCCACATTCAGGGAATTTTAGGATGTAAAGAAACAGATTAAAGTTGAATTGATTCAGAAACATCCATATGGACTGAATTTTGTTTCAAAAACGTTTCTTTTTTTTTTACTTTTTTGGATTGAGTATGAACTGGATGGCTGAGAATAAACAGTTTGGCATCGATGTTGAGAAGGAGCACCATATTCCACCCTGATCTACTGAAGATCCTCTAACAGGGTTTCTGATCCGCTGTTCTGTCAGATGAGCATACCCGATGAGACCAGCATACCCATAGTCAATAATCGTTTATCCCTTTAGTTTATCCACGTTTGTATTAAAAATAAACTTTAAACTACCTCAACGGGCGTGTATCCGTTTAGCCATGTACGAGAAAACTATTTGAGTACTTAATATTTGGTCTTTTTTGAAGCGTATGGTGATCTGACCTTAAATAGTTTTTTTTGCACGTGACTAAAGGGATACACGCTCGTTGAGGTAGTTTAAAGTTTATTTTTCATACAGAACTAAAGGACTAAACTCAAATCGTGCATATTGACTATGGGTATGCTGGTCTGACAGAACGCCAGGCCTCATGACTCCTTAATCATTAACAGTTCCTGCTGCCATGCAGCTGTGTGGGTGTGTTGGTACCTGTTTAGCAGGGTAAACATGCTCCTTATCAAGTCTGCCAGCGATCGGGGCCAGTTCCCTGTCTGCGTAGTCTCTGCAGGTCTGTCTCAGTAGCTGATGCGTCTCTGGCAGCTCGGCCAGCTGAGACAGACTCCGGCAGCCTTTGAGACACAAACCTAGAACTGAGGAAGAAAGAAAACATACAGATATCAATGAAAGCCCCTCCATCGGCTGCTTTAGTCCTCATCGACGAAGAAGTCACCGATATTAATCTGACTCAGCCGTTTGTTCTACTGTCTCATATGCTGGTGAGGATCCTAAGTCATCCAGGTCAGAGTCATTCCAAAAAACAATCCACTGGACTTTGTTTCCAAGTTTGAAGACATTTCTCTTCCCATCCAGGGAGCTTTTTCAATTAAAAATGTCAGAAATAGGATTGAGTTCCAGGGAATATAGAGTGGACCAAAACAAAGCCTTGTTTTTGTAGAAAACATGCCAATTGAAACGGACGAACGGGTCCACCCCTTTGGAATGGGGGTCATTTGGCCTCTTTGTCAACCTGCAAAGCCCCATACCTGTCTATGTTTTTGAAATGGGGTCATTTAACGGTCGTTTCAAGGCTAAATCTGGTCGTTCCATCATAGCCCAATTTTTAACAAGTATTTCTGGACTAAATCAAGCCGTCTGTTTTTCTCACACTTTAGTCCAATAATAGATTTAAAAAATACCTGTCAACCAAATGTAGACGATGTTCGGACACATTTTTAATGTCTTTTCAAGCAGTTTTGAAGACATTTCGCATCCCATCCAGGAAGCTTTTTCAATTCAAAATGTCAGGAATAGCGTTGAGTTAGAGGCTTTATACTGTTAGGCTAATTATCATTGATGATGTGTGTTTATTACACCTTAATATTAGCAGTTCCTTGGTCAGGTTTCATTCTGTACGTGGCAAATATTTGGGAATAGAATGAGAGCGGTTTCCTTCAGCTAAGAACGAAGTGTAATATTTTGATAAGGCTAAAGTCATGGATGTCTAATCATCTGCTAACGTGTATGATGTAAAATATGATGATGTGGCAGACTAAAGATGTATAAAATGCCTTTTTAACTGTTAATCTGGGCCACTTCCTGAGAGGTGAGCAGCTGCCTTCTGTAACTCTAGGCAATTTCTCTTATCCGAGTAAGATAACAATTTCTATCAGAATCTGTTGTCATGTCTCCTGGTTATTTAATACATTTATGTGATAAAGTGTTATTTAAAGAGTTTCTCCATAGTGATCTCTTTTCAGGAAAAAGAACCGGAGAGATAGAGCATCAAGGTGCAGACAGTGACCCAACAAAGGCTTGTTTTTTTTTTTGTTTTTTTTGTTTTTAGAAAACATGCATGTTGAAACGGACAAACGGGTCCACCCCTTCCGAATGGGGTTAATTTGGCTTCCAAAGGGGTGGACCCGTTTGTCCGTTTCAACATGCATGTTTTCTAAACAAAAACAAGGCTTTGTTGGGCTACCGTATAAAACCTTGAACTTATTCCTGACAGTAGGAAGCGAAACGTCTTCAAAGAGGTTGTAAACACTCACATCATTGACTTTATAAATCACATCATTATGTTTAAATATTGCGACATTTGGTTGAAAGGTGAAAGGAAATAATTTTCAGATTTATTATTGGACTAAAGAGGGACTAAAATCAGACCCACTTAATTTAGTCCAGAAATACTTGTTATAAATTGGGCTATGACGGAACGACAAGATTTAGACTTAAAATGACCTTTTAATGACCCTATTTCAGAGACATAGACAGGTATGGGGCTTTGCAGGCTGACAAAGAAGCCAAACGACCCCCATCCTTGTTCAATTCACAATGTCAGACATAGCGTTGAGTTCAAGGCTTTATCCAGTAGCCCCACAAAGCCTTGTTTCTGTTTAGAAAAGATGCCAATTGAAACAGACGAACGGGTCCACCCCTTTGGAATGGGGGTGGTTTGGCTTCTTTGTTCGCCTGCAATGCACCATACCTGTCTATGTCTCTGAAAGGGGGGTCATTTAACGGTTGTTTTAAGGCTAAATCTGGTCGTTCCGTCATAGCCTCCTTTAGAAAAGGGGTCATTTGGCTTCCGGGGGGGGGGCGTTCATCTGTTTCAATTTGCATGTTTTCTAAACAAAACAAGGCTTTGTTGGGCTCCTGTATAAAGCCTTAAACTCAACGCTATTCCTGACATTTTGAATTGAAAAAGCTTCATGGATGGGAAGCGAAATGTCTTTAAACTTAGAAACAAAGTTTTGTTTTTGTAACTTTTGTGGAAGTTCTACTGTCTCATTCAGCAGCTGGGAAAGATGATAATGTGTTCATGGCAAATGTAAAAATCTAAAACTCACCAGAGCAGGAATGCCGTTTATTCCTAGTCAGCTTTGGCTACAATTTGAAGCAATTAACAAAAATAATGTTAAGTTTGAAAACAGGAGAAATCTAGGTAAATAGATCAAAGCTCTACTGCTGTTAAAACCAAACCGACCAGCAGCCGGGTCCTTGAACGCACCAGCAGCTAACCAGCTCGAGCTCGGCTAATTAGGTGAAAGGTCGTTTCCAACATCAGTCACCTTCATCTAACTAATAACTATTCTGAATCAAACGTCTCGGCGGGAGAATTCAGAGCTATATTATTAACCAAATCACGTCTGAGGCGGAACCTGTTTTAAATGACGGAGCTAATTTTAAAGCTAACTTAGCTAACAAGTTCAAAGCCAGCTAACCGATGTGCTAATGAGCTTGTTTCAATCCCACTGAGAGGCAGACACCAGAGGGTCTATCAGAGGAATGTTTCCTATAATGTGTTTAATAAGACAGGTTGGAAAAGGTTAGGTAACCTGCGGTGTGGGCAGACAGCAGCCTATCATTCAGCAGCCGCACCGTTAAACGGCTAACCTCCCTCTGTCAATCACTCGCTGCTTATTTTAAAGTTCCGCATTCATCCCCTGTGGGCCTCCTGCTCAGAAACTCACCTTTTCTAGCTTTAAAAAGAGCAGACATTGTGTCTTCTTCACCGCACAATCCCCAATAGAAAGTTTATGAAATGCCGTGCTGCCTTCAGGCTCTGTTGTTTTAATCATTGACAAGTTGGCTACCGAAGCTTTGTGAGTTGACTCGGTGCTGTTTATATTAATACTTTGGCGTGTATTTTGAAAAATGCTTTCAAATTTATAATTTTATTTTTATCATTTTAGATTTTGATCTCTTGGAGCAATATAAGCAGTCGATATAAAGATTTTAAGAATCCCGAGCACACCTGAAGAGGACAGAGGACGTATATGGACCACGTGACGTATTGCTGCATTCACTGCAGCTCGTAAACAGCACATCCAAAGTGAAAAGCAAATGAACAAGAAGACCAAACCTAAATATTTATTTTCTATAGAGGGGATTCATTTTTCTGTATCTGTACTCTTCCTGTTAGATCTCAGTGCTGAGTTTGATACAGTCCATCATGACATCTTTTAAGATATATTTGAAATGTTTGTAGGAATTAAGGGAACAACACTAGGCTGGTTTAAATCTTATTTATCTGACAGATTTCAGTTTGTTCATGTGAATATTGAATCCTCCTCATGCTCTAGGGTTACCTGTGGAGTACCACAGGGATCAGTGCTAGGACCAATTCTCTTCTTTTATGTATCCATTCATCTTCCGTCACAATTATCCCTGCTGCGGTAGCGAGGGGTGCTGGAGCCTATCTCCATCTGTCAATGGGCAACAGGCGGGGCACACCCTGGACAAGTCGCCAGGCAACACAGAGACAAACACCATAATCAACCATTCACGCACACACTCACACCTAAGGAGAATTTAGAAAACCCAATTAACCTAACATTCATGTTTTTGGACTGTGGGAGGAAGCTCGAGTACCCGGAGAGAACCCAGGCATGCTCAGGGAGAATATTCATACTCAATGCAGAAAGACCCCGGGCTGGGAATCGAACCCGGAACCATATGCGTAAAATATATTCTGTCTCCTTGAACCCCAGTCAGCCTCAGCTGATGGCCGCTCACACTGAGCCTGGTTCTGCAGGAGGTTTCTTCCTGTTAAAAGGGAGTTTTTCCTCTCCACTGTCGCTACAAGCATGCTTAGTGTGAGGGATTGCCTTCAAGTCAATGAGTTGATGCAATCAACTGGTTTTCCTTAGATAGAAAACTTTGAATGAACTGTAAAGTGCCTTGAGATTAAGTGTTTTTTTGGCTTTATATAAATAAACTGAATTAAATTGATATTTCAAAATGTTTAAGAAATGAACCCATCCTGTCAAAGATTCCTTACTGATTTTATTCAGATGATCTTAGTCTGATTTAAAATTAGTTTGATCAGTTATACAATTTTAGAGTGACAAAATATGTAAGAAAAGAAATCGTGTGGGGGGCATTCACGTCACTTTACATAAATGTAATGTAAACATAAAATTGACGGCAGAATGAAAATGTAATTTTGAACAAAGTATCCTTTTTTCAATGCATCAACAATCTTGTTGATTCCAAAGCAACTCTGCATGATGTAGCTTTATTTATAGAAAAAAGTGAACCATTATTGAAAAAAAAAATCATCAAAGAAATCCTTTGGAATTATTTATAAAATATGCTGAATAAAAATTAAATAAGTAAAATAAGAAAGCAGCTATTAACGCAGTTCAATTAGAGGTGTCCTAAATCATCTTTATGCCTGTTCTTTTTCTTTTATCTTAATCTCTCTCTATATGCCCTTGTATGATTGTCATTACCTGATTCATATATCCCAAAATATATATATTTTAACAACAAAAAAGTATTTTTTGTGAAATAAAAAAAATGTATTCAGCCATAGAGGGATCGATTTTTCACGTTTATTTTTTAGCACCATAAAAAGTCACTTAAGGATGTCCAGTGTGTCGCTCTCAATCTCACTTTCCTTTAGGATGGAGCAACAGTGGTAGAGGTCGAGGAAAGGACCAGAGAATTGGAGTAAGAAGAGGTTTGGAGAAATAAAATGCTGAGAGAGCTACAGCATCACCAGATGATCAGCAGGCGGGTTTCACTTGCTGGCAGAGGTGAAGGTGAAGCATCCTCTCTGGTGGAACTGCATGTCCCTGATACGGCGCACCGACTGGATCTGGGGCTGGAAGGCGCAGAAGTCGTTGTAGTGTCTGTAGTCACCGCACTCAAACAGGTACTGGTAGCCTCTGTATCCGGGGTACTGGTAACCCACCCAGCTGAGAGAAGAAGGCAGAGGATCACAGGAGTTATGTGTTTGCAGTGAGCAGGTCTACATAGACTTTAATGTGAACCAGCAGCAGAGGATCCTGTTTTAGAGATCTTGTAACAAGAAGTGAGGTTTGCTGCTGTCCAGAAAGTCCTATTTAGTCTCTAATGAGAATCTAACAAGGTCAACTTGTAACTGTAGAGCTACTTCCATTATTAATCTGCAGGCTCAATTGAAAGGTCAGAGGTTATTGAAATGGCTCTGCCTCATCTTCAGGTAGTTTCTATGTAGTGTTTTTATCTAAGAGCAGTAAGATGAGCTTCTACCTATTTGCTAGAAAATCCTTTCAGTCGTTTATTGTTCTGTAAAACAATAAATGACATATTCTGATGTGGGAGCTGGTTCCGAGCTCGTCTGCCTGGCTGAGTGTTTCCTGGACGGGGCTGCCTTTTATAGTTGCTTTCTGCTTCTGTCTCCTTGAACCCCAGTCGGTCTCAGCAGATGGCCGCTCACACTGAGCCTGGTTCTGCTGGAGGTTTATTCCTGTTAAAAGGGAGTTTTTCCTCTCCACTGTCGCTACAAGCATACTTAGTGTGAGGGATTGCCTTTGAGTCAATGAGTCGATGCGATTAACTGGTTTTCCTTAGATAGAAAACTTTGAATGAATCTGACTGAATGATCTGGAGAACTGTAAAGTGCCTTGAGATGACATGTTATAAATTGGCGCTTTAGAAATAAACTGAATTGAATTAAGATGATCTACTTTGAGGCTGCAGGGTTTGGGAGGCTGGATTTCGGGTCTTGGTGGCATTTCTTTGAACATTAGATATGAACGACTCTCTTTAGGGGCTCCAAGGACATCCTAATGGCATCTTAGGACAATAGATTATGAGCTTCGTTACAACACTCAGTTCTTTTAGGAAGAGTTTAAGATATTTCAATAAAAACATACTTTCAGAGCATTTCTTTCTTTAAGGGTTAATATTAAAAATTTCACATGGATGTAAACAGTCTATAGATGCCATAGTTGCCTTTAAGCAGAGGTTTCAACTAACAAAGTACAAATACTTTGTTACATTTCTTAAGTAGACATTTTGGCTATTTGATAAAATTAAGTTGAGTAATTATTGTTTTAAACAACTTTTATTCCTTACGCTTTAAAAATAGACTTCTTAGTTTTGCTTCATTTAAGCTTATTTTCTTTATGGTCCGTTGGTATTTAAAAAAAAAAAATAAAAACCATCAAAATAAATGGTTTTATCCAGAAAATAATTTTTTAGTGGTTGGACTCGGTGCTGCCCCAACTTGTTGTTCACTGCATACCAAAATAAATAGTTTTTCAAGGTGATGCAAAGTTAAATCTGACACTATTACCATTAGTTATAAAATTAAAAAACTTAAGTCTAAGGTAATTATCATCCAGAATTGTAGAAAAATGTTCCTTTAGTTGGCTAGTGCAGTAAAGCTTCAGTCATTAACATTTTTTTCCTGCATTACCTTTACTTTTATGCTTTAAGTAATTTTAAAATGGTACATTTACACTTTTACTGGAGTAAAAAGCTGAAATTAATTTTCTAACTTCTACAAACGTGTTTTTAAACAGCAGGATTTATACTCCTACTTGAGTAATAAAAATGTATACATCTCTGCTTAACATACATAAGAGTTTGTAGTTATAATGTAACCAAATGTAAATAATAATAATAATAAAAAAAACCTCCTTCATGGCAGCATGCACGCAAATCAAATCATGCAAAAGGTTCAGAAGTAAAGGTGGCATAATAAACATTAATACTCCTCTGCCTTTAAAAAGTTTCTGGATGTTAAGTAGAGGTTTAAAGTTCCCTTAAAGAGTTTAAATGGGATATTTAAAAGCTCTCCAAGGTTTCTACAAACTGAGTAACAGTAAAGCTGTCCTGAAAATGCATCTGCTCTGATCTCCAGCTGCAGCTGAAGTAGGAGTGTCTACTCACGCTCCTCCTGGCACCCTCACGCTGCCCACTCTGTCACAGAAGCCATGCGCCCAGAGGGTAGGGACGTCGTCCTCCTGAATCTCCATCTTGTTCCCCTTGAAGTCAGAGAGCTCGAAGAGGCAGATCTTGTGCTCCAGGCTGTCCTGCAGAGAGGAAACCCGAAACACAGAGAGAGGATCTCAGGACTGCAGGATTTCTTCCTGCCGCTCTGTTAGGGACTCAACAGATGGCAGCACTGCACCAGTTTGGAGCCTGAGGGACCAGGCTGGAGCTTCATACACTTTCTTCAGTACCAATGATCCAACTACTGCTTTAGATAACACCGAAATGGAGGAAATGATTAAAATTTAAATGTATAGTAAAGCTCCAATTTAAACCTTACAAGTTTTCATGAATTTTGATTCTTATTGTAAAGCTTTACTTCATTCAACAGCTAACATAAGGACAGCCATTAGCCCAGAAACATGTGCTAAAAACAGAACTTTGTCTAATTTATAAGTCATGATGTATGAAAAAAAAAAAAAAAAGTTGTTGAAAGTCAGACTTTGTTTATGGGGCGGAATGCCGTCCAAATTTATCCTAAATAAAAACGCTGAAAGGCCAGCCTTTGTTCAGCCAGTCTGATGTGGTCACGGCTCTGCTCTATAAAAAGAGACTTTGAAAGCAGAGCTTTGTTTGGCTCTAGTTGAACCTGTTTAGGTTTCAACCACCCTAAGACATCAATGGAAGAAGGAATCTTTTCAGCACTGACAGCTGTCCTTTCTCAGCCTCCTAATGGAGGGGCGTCAGCACTAACAGCAGCACAGTTTACCATGCGGATGGGCCTGAGGGACATGAGGCAGTCGCTGCGGTAGGACATGCTCCAGGTATCCCAGCGAGGATACTCTCCCTTCTCCAGGATGAACATCTCGCCACGGAAGTTGGTCTGCTCGAAGGCAACGAAGCTAGAGCGGAGGGGTGGGCGGGGAGGGGAGGGCAGAGGGGAGAGGGGGGAGAAAGTAACACACGTGAAGGAGGGAGGGTGGATACGCTGGTGAAGATTCTCAGTCATCCAGGTCATAGTGATTCCAAAAGTTAAAAAACAATTCACTGGCGTTTGTTTCCAAGTTTGAAGACCATAACAACCCAGTCGGCCTCAACACTGAGCCTGGTTCTGCTGGAGTTTTCTTCCTGTTAAAACTGAGTTTTTCCTCTCCACTGTCGCTACAAGCATCCTTAATGTGAGGGATTGCCCTTATAGTCAATGAGTCGATGCAATCAACTAGTTTTCCTTAGATAGAAAACTTTGAATAAATCTGACTAGATGATTTGGTGAACTGTAAAGTGCCTTGAAATGACTTGTGTTGTGAATTGGCAATATAGAAATAAACTGATTTGAATTGAACCAGGATTTATTGTTCCACTCTATAAAGCTTGGAACTCAACGCCATTCCAGACATTTTGAACTGAAAAAGCTTCCTGGATGGGAAGCGAAACGTCTTCAAACGTGGAAAACAAATTCCAGCAGATTGTTTTTTTAATTTTTTAGGAATGAGGGTGGATCGCTTCAGATATAACGTGTCTGCGTGTGAACTTACGGGCCGCTCTCCACAATCAGACTGCGCACTCTGTCCATGCCACGGTCACACACGTTCATGCACTCGTCCATGACCTCCATCATCCTGCCCTGGAAGTTCTCCTGGTCGAACAGCAGGATCTGCACATTAAACAAACAGGCAGATGCTGATCATGTCACCTTTTCAGCATAACCCGGAAGCCGTTAAAGCATGGAAGGAATACAAGAATAAAAACATGACTATAAAGAATAAGAAACGTGCCTTCTGTTTCCTAAAACTGTATGAATAGAATTGTAGAATTCGCCTTTTATCGTCATAACACTGTCACAAGTACAAAGGAATGAAATTCACTCTGTGCATTTAAGCCATTCCTTTGGGGAGCAGTGTGGGGTTAAGGGTCTTGCTCAGGGACCCAGAGTGGCAGTCCGTGGGAGTGGGGCTTGAACTCGGCCGCCACTCCCACAGTTTGATCCAGTTTGATTTCTAATTCAAACTATTCGAGCCTCTGAACTCTCCCTATTTAATGTTTTCAGTAACAGTGAACTATTTCACATCACTAAGCTTCTTAACTAAGTGACTTAAACAAAACATTTTTACAATGATAAACTTAAGAAAATTGTTGCTTTAATCATCTTTAAACCAGTAAATTCATTTCCCCTCTCAGGGATCATCTCTGTGCAAAATGCTGCTTTAAAAACAACCTTTTTTTTTTATTGTCCACTAAAATGAAAACTAAATAACATTTGTATTCTAAGCTCAGAAAATTAAATTAAAATTCTAAAACCGCCATACTTCTAAGCCTTTGAACACATTTCATCTACTTAATCTGCTTACTATGCAACCTTTACCTTTTTTTTTTTAGTTTAGGTCCTTCAGAAGCCCCACTGATCTACAGAAGCTTAAAAGAACAGGTTGGTGCTGATGTGACTCACTCTGTAGGATCCCATGCCAGGCTCCCCGGTCTTGGTGGGCTTGCTGGTGGCAGCTGGAGCTGGGGCTCCCTTGTCCTTGGTATCAGCGCTCTGGCTGGAGGCGGACTTGGCGGTCTGAGACATGGCGAGGGGCTTCAGTAGAGTCTGATGGAGGAAAACCAGGGAATGGGGGAGTCAGAAATAGAGGTGTACGCAGATGCATTTGCAGATGTGTTGATGTGAAATAAAGGGAGGAAAGTGCTTTGTTGGGATTCATTGTTTATGCGTTGGATGCTGCACTTCTATTCAGGCCTTTTTCCTCGACTGAGATGGGGTGGGGGGGGGGGGGAGAAGTGGGGTGTGCAGCTCTGATGCTCAGCTGTGTATGTCTGCGTCTGTGTATCCTTACCTGCGTTAGTACAGCTTGCAGTGGCGTGTGAAGGAGGCTGGCTCGTGCTGGTCCAGTCAGAGCTAGAGCCAAGCTTTTTATACCCTGGCAAAGGCCAAACGTAAAGGCTCTCAGCACAATAGAAAGCCTCGCGTCATCACAGTTGGCCTGGTTCAAAGCCGGCTAGCCTGGAAACGCTGTCGGCCCCCTCTGGCCTGCCTGTAAGCATTTCACTGTCAAAGGATAGCACTGACCCAAGCAGTTTTACTCCGTGTCGGGCTGCTGGGCCTGTGAGCTGTAGCTACATGTAGACATGAGGAATGCAACGATCCAGAGCGTACAAAGAGATAATCACCTCCACGGCTAACAACAGAGCACTAAATTCAATAACTTAACCCGAGAACAAAGACAGCATGTTTAAAATCATCATCCTTCAGCTCTGAAGACTAAAATAGAACATAACATGCAGAAATATGCAACTAGACATATTCCTCAGAATAAAATCATCTAATTTAAGTAGATCTATAGAGTATTTATAGAGTATTACCAGTTTTAAAACCTTAAAGGTTTTTAAGTCATCAAAGGTAAATAATATAATAACTGTAGAAGTGATTATCCTGCTGCCTTGCATGTGTTGTCTGTTATTTCCACTGGTTTGATTTTAGAATTGCTCCTTTTTGTCTTATTCATCTCCATCAGTAAGTTTTATATTCATTTTTCAGCAGTAATGCTTTCGCAGTTCTCATTTCTTGCCTCTGTGGTCTTTAGTGTTTGACACATCGCTGTTTTTAGGGAAAAAGTGGCACTGTTTTGTTGTGCCAATTTGTACACTGAATTGCAAAGGGGGATGTTTCATAACTGCTCTCATACCAGATGCCGTCCTGGTGGGTTAAGTGAGCACGCCTAAACGCTTCAGTTTTATTTAGCTTTCCTTATGTGAAGATTTTTTTCTGTCGTTCTCCTTTATGTAGACATGCTGCAGGTCATTTCCCCACTTTCCCTTTTCTGTCCTTTGATATTGTGTAAGTATTGGACCCATCTTTATCTTATCTTTAGAATTTTCTCATTACGTCTAATAAATAATAGCCACCAGCAGGAAGTTACTTTGGTTTCCTCAAAGGAAACCAGATTGCATAACACTGAACAGTCTCAAATGGAGATCAGACCTAATCGAAAGAAAATAGGCCGTAATATAAAAGTTATCTAAGATAATATGCTATAAACTAATATTAAATGTCATATTATGATTCATTTTATGATGTCTATGATTTCTAAAGGCACTTAACTGCCAAGCAGGAGTAAACCAGTGAAGTACATGGGGACCAAGAGATTTGTTTATGGATGCAAAATGGATTAAAGGAAGACACAGAATGGGAGCCTGTGTGTTTAAAGGGGAAAACGGACTTGGAGCAAATCCAATAGCTCATATTTCTCTAAACCTACAACACTGTGTTCCATCCAGCATCACAGTTCAGTGATTAGGAAATAGCAGCTGTATAGCAGAAGGCCAAAATTTGTTGATGAAAAATAAGTTGTGATCTGTCATTAAAAACATTCTGGCTACAAATGAATTGCCCCCTTTTGTTGATTCTTTGAAATAATGGTTGTTGCTGATCATTTGGATATGTCAGTTGGATTACATCTGGATTATGTCACCTCTGCAGAAATGTTTTTTTTTTTTTTTTTTTTTGGTAAACTGGATTAAAATGTATTTGATACATGCAGATTAGGTGGAAACTAATCCTACAGTATAATCTGTGTGAATCCTTAATCATTCTATGATAGCTGATGCTGGGAGTCCAACTAATGACAGGCTTGCTGGTCTTAGACTGATGTTGTTTTATACTAAATGTTTGAATAAAGGTTAAAAATATACATATTCTTTCATTTTGTTTTTATCAAGGGTTTACTTAATTTAGTCAATTGAAATTTCTAAAACACAAAGATGTATATCTAGTTTTCCAAATTCAGCTGTTGTGTATGTATTTAGGTAGAAATTACACATAGATTTAGTATTATTTGTGAACATGAACTGAAAAATGTTTTGTTTGTCAAGATAATAAATGTGGACATATTTAGAATTGATGTAAAAAAAATATGAAAATAATATTTTAAATAATCTGATTTATCCTAAAAAGATTGATTTGAAGTGAATCTTTTTCAATTACAGAAGTATTAATGTTCAGTCCTGTATTCAGACTATAGATCTTCTTTCCTACCAAGTGTTCACTCAGTTTTATATAAACACATCATTCCATGAGGCAATAGGATAAAAATAATTTAAAACAAATATTTGACAGCCTTTTAAAACCAATGTGTGAATGAATGTATTGTCCATATGAAGCTACTTAAACCCAAGTTTGCATGGATGACTAGGCTACTGAAAACTTACTGCTGCCTTTTTATGGTCATTTATATCTACCAGATTGGGGGCTCATCCAGGATTCCAATATATTAGCCATTGAGGCCTGTAAGAGAAAACCATGTGTTGTTGTACCAGGTGTCCAAAGACCACTCTCACAGTATGGTAATCCAGTTTGGATAAGTGATGGATTGTTGACTTACTGCAAAGGGAAGCAAAGGGTGTTATGGGGTTAAGATACCTTTTCAATACATTTATTTCATAAAACCCCTGTCAAACTGCCCCAGTTCCCCTCTCTAAGCTGCATCTGACCATTTATAATTTGCCTGCTGACCCTGCAGTGCCTAGCTCAGATAAACACGTACAGAGAGGAAACCAGTAGAGGCATGATGTGGGAATGCTCCAAGTCAACATAAAGCAGCATGTTTAAAATTTGCTTCGGGTAAAGTCACATTCTAAAGGGTAAAACACATCATGTGATTCGGACTTTATCCTACTCTATTTTAAGCATTGCCCATTCTGATGAAAACACCCATTGAAGAGCTTCAGTGTCTTGATATGTACAATATGCGTTAAATTTAAGAACCGATGTGTATCATATAGCACTTTGCATCGGTTGCATTTTTGCCTTATATGCCTTAGGCAGCAAGTTGCACAGAGGAACTCCCATCAAAAAATCAAATCCTCAAGCCAAAAGGATGAGTAGCTCTTTAACAGTATCATTGCTCTTTTGCACCAAAAGGGCTTTGGTTCAAATCTTGGCTATTCTTTCAGCATGTAGTTTGCATGTTCTTCCTATGCATATGCTGGTTCTTCTCCAGGTACTAGGGTTTTGTCATAAGTGGTGCATGACTATTTTATGCATCTCTTTGCCATCCTGAGGTGGACCTGCCTCTCGCCCAGCAACCGCTGCAGATAGGCACCAGCCTAAATAGTGCCACCTTTATTTCTGAACCCTTTGCATGATTTGATTTGCATGCATGCTGCTATGAAGGATGTTTTTTTTATTATTATTATTTACATTTGGTTACATTATAACTACACATTCTAATGTATGTTCAACAGAGGTGTATGAATGTTTATTACTCAAGTAGGAGTATATATCCTACTGTTTAAAAAGACTTTTGTAGAAGTTAGAGAATAAACTTTAAAAGTTAAAAGTTGCATAAAAAATAATAACTCTAGTAAAGTATAGATATCCAAAGTTTCCACTTAAGTGACATAATTAAGTATTTGTACTTTGTTACTTGACACCTCTGATGTTGAAGGCATAGGCCGACCCAAAGTAGTTTGAAAGTAGATGATAAATAATTATTAGCTTATTTGAGAAAGAAGTTTTTGGGTTAGGTCTGTTCCCACTATTCTCAGCAAGATAACCTTTGTGAGATACAGTACTGGATGGGGCCTTTCAGGCTTTACAGGATGCACTACCTTGGTTCGGTCCTTCGTAGCTCTGATATGGTCCTTAGTGACCTTTCAAGGGTACAGCTGGAGTAGAAAATAAATCACCTTCATGACAATATCCTCCTTTCAAAACACTTTATTCTGAAAGTCTGTTATCATAAACCTAGCATTACTGTATGTAAACCCTTCACTCTTGTCCCATGATCTGCACTGAAACTTTACCCATTGACTTTTAATCCATAAGATCAATCTACAAATGACTCTTAGCAGAGCTCTTTTTTTTTTCCTTGTTTTTTTTTTTTCTAGAGTTTTCCTGTCATTACATTGTCACAAGTACAGAGCCACAAAATTTACTCTCTGCATTTAACCCCTCTCGTTGGGAAGCAGTGGGCTGCCATTCTGGAGCACCCGGGGAGCAGTTTGGGGGTTAAGGGTTTTGCTCAGGGACCCAGAGTGCCAGTCCGTGGGAGCAGGGCTGGACTCAGAACCTCAGGGATCCAAGCGCAATGCCCTAACCATGAGGCTGCCACTCCCCAAAGCAGGATCACTACGCCCCAGCTGGGATACAAACCCAGGCTTCCTGTTTGCAGGAAGCGTGTCCGAGCTACCAGGTAACCTATTTCAGGCCGTTGTTGTTAATTCCACACTTCCTTTTTCTGCTTTACCCTAACTGTGCACAGGGTTTAACCTAAAGTCAATTGAACTGAATTTGCTTCTCTAACAAGTGAAAGTCATCAATTATGCTCACACCCTTTGATGACATTTGCATTGAACTGGCTATTGAACATTAAACTGCACGTTCAGTCATGGGGAGAGTCGTACCTCCTGAGAACCAATGTCCTTTCTTTCTTTCCCTTGGTTTCAACCAGTGTTTTTGATTTAGCAAAAAAAGCCTGCCAAGGCTGGACTTGGTTAATACTGAAGGAGGAGGAGTTTTGGCTTTACAGATCCAGATTTAATGATTTTATTAAGACAAATTACTTTGCATTGTAGTTGTTAGTATGTTGTAAGGTATGTGAAAACTTTCAAGCTTGCAATTCAAATTCAATTAAATTCAAAACAAGTTTTTTGAGGAATTATGTCTTAAACTCCACCTTGAAGAGGCCAGAATTCCTTTGGGCTCACAGGAAGTAGAGCTGTTGTTGAGGAATTTAAGCTGCTCATGAAAGAAGTGCCTCCAACTTCCCTGTTTACTAGTAGCTGATTATGTAAGTATACACACAGAGACACACACCCACGCACAAGCGCTATTTAATAGCTTTAAACAAACTGGAGTCTCCTGGTTCAACCTGTTTAAAGCCCAGTGCCGTGCAGTTCCTGTTACATGTGTTAAAAACGGTTAGAGACAAACTTATCACACTG